TCTCAGCTGTCAATCATGACATCACTCTCTAGTTTGTCTCATGTCCCATTAGACTACATGGAGAGGGCAGTGTTTCTGACCTATACTCAGTCCAGCCACCTGGGGGCAATCAAAAAGTTTTGGCTTCACTTATCAGGACTTGTGCAGCACACTTGGTTGGTGAAAGTGTTGAATGACTTTCTTTCTGTCATTGGACAATGGTGAAAATGCTATTCTGATTCTACTCGACCTCAGTGCGGCGTTCAATATGGTGGATCATGATATACTGATTGATTGCCTGGAACACTAGGTTGGTCTTAAGGGAAGTGTGCTTAAGTGGTTTAAATAATATCTCATGGGAAGATCCTTCTCTGTCTGCAAAATTCATCCAGTTCGCCTCTTTCTTGGGGGGTACCTCAGGGTTCGGTTCTTGCACCAATATTTTTTCCTTTTATACGTTACCTTTAGGTAACGTATATGTATCCTTCTACTGCTACATGGATGACACTCAGCTCTATCTTCCAGTGAGACAGGTGCTACATAAAACAAGGTGCTTCCTATCTTTCGAGTTTGTTGCCATTTTACAATCCTTCTAGATCTTTGAGATCTGAAAATCAAAATCTTCTTTGCATTGAAATAACTAAATACTAACAAAAGGGTGACAGAGCCTTTTCTTGTGTTGGACCCAAACTGTGGAATGATTTCCCTCTTTCTGTAAGTTCAGTAAAGTCACTACTGAAATTTAAGGCCATGCTAAAAGTATATATTTTAAAGATGTTTTGGGCATCTTTATGATGGTGTGTTTTGATTGTTTACCTTAGCTATGACTTTGTTTGTTGCTCTCTGTAATTCTGTCTTTTTTAGTTTTGTGGTTTATGTTATCTATACATTTGTTGTTTGTGATTGTGAAGCACTTTGGGCAACAGTGGTTGCATTAAAGGTGCTATAAAAATAAACAAGAACAAGAACATTTGTGAGGATCTCTTTAAGCTTTGTCAGTTCATTATATAATACAACAATAGTTTTCCTGAAGTTATGGTGCTATTTGAAGTGTGATATTTGATGACAAAATATTTTCCCACATACAGTTACAATTACTGCAAAATTCTAGTACTAAACATTCATATTATTTTACTGTTTTTCAGGGGACATCTATACCTGTTTTCCATGTGCAGAGAATGAATGGTCTGATGAGGGCAGCACGACATGTAATGCACGTTCTGTTGTCTATCCTCAGTTCACAGAAATCCCCTCCATCATTGTCATGGTTTCTGCCGCATGCCTTATTATTCTCCTAATTGCTGTATTTTGGCTTTTTGCCTACAATTACAACACACCGGTTGTAAAGTCTGCTGGTGGCAGCATGTGTTTCCTCATGTTGACCAGTTTGATTTTGTCTAGCATAAGTGTGTTCTTTTTCTTTGGAAAACCCACATCTGTATTTTGTCTCCTGAGAAATGCCATATTTGCTTTTTTCTTCACTATTTGTATTTCCTGTTTGACTGTCCGTTCCTTTCAAATTGTTTGTGTTTTTAAAATGGCTACTCAGTTCCCTAAAGTGCACAGCCTTTGGGTAAAACACAATGGCCAGTGGCTCTTCATTGCATGTTCTTCTTTCGTTCATTTAATTTCTTGTGTGGTATGGATGACTGTCGATCCTGTCAAAGCCATTGCTGACTCGTGGACTTTTAAAGACCAAATTATGCTCATCTGTGAAATGGGGAACGCTATAACATTAACCATAGTTGTGTTTATAAGTTGGGTTCTTGGTTTCCTGTGTCTCCTGTTTTCTTACATGGGAAGAGATCTGCCCAAACATTACAATGAGGCCAAATCAATAACATTCAGTCTCATTTTGTACTATCTGACCTGGATTGCATATTTCACTGCATACCTCACTACCAAAAGCAAATACATTGTCATTTTTAATGCAGTGGCCCAGATATCCAGTATAAATGGAATTCTCTTCACTTATTTCATACCAAAATCTTACATCATAATATTCAAAACGCAAAAAAACACTCTAGCATACTTTCAAACATCTATTCAGAATTACACCCAAACCATTAGTAGGACTTAGACTCAGACTTTAGTCTTTATGTATAGAAAGTAAGCCAGCTTAACTCTTAAACTCTGGTTTAGATTCTTCCCTTTTTCACTGTTATGTTATCACAGTCTTAAACACAAGTAGAGAAAACAAGTAGGCAACGTAGAGAATAGAGATCTATTGGGTTCAGTCGGCATATGTGATTTTTGAGATTTATACATGTAATGTAAACACAAAGGCTTCCATTTTTGTTTTGAACTTATAATAAAGAACAGAATAAAGATTTTCAAACTCAATAATTAGTGTCCATGTTATCCATATAGGTTTGTGAGGTGTGGATCAGCTGTCTTGTATGTTTGATGTCATACTCACTGTCTATTCAAACTCTAATGATATAATAGTAATATATATCGATTAGCCACAGCAGTTTTAACCCATTTATTTGGAAAATGTGCATATATCTAAAACAAAGCAAAACAATAATATGATCTCACATGCAGTTTAATAACATTTCTTTTGAAATCTTCATTTTCAAAGCCCTACATCGTTCAGTGCCAACAATATGGGGACCTCAGTGAGTCTTCATATACAGATTGTTGACTATTACCAATTTTCAGTGGTTTCAAAACCAAAGTTGGTCACTTTCTATACAGCTGATACTTGTTGTATTTAAAGTGGAATGTCTGAAGAATAAGTAATGTTGAAACTAAATGTATCTTGTTTCCCTCTATCAAAAAAAAGTGTATAGGACATACCTGTTTGAGTGTCATAAATAGTCTTTTTCCAAAATGTGCATGCCTGTAACTCAAGAAGTATTAAAGTCATCCTAATATGAAGTTAGATTCTGTAAACTTTTATTTTGGAATCTTCATTTTTAAGGCCCTGAATGGTTTAATCCTAGAGATATCGAGATCTTGGTGCATCTCAATGTCCAAATTGTTGTATCCTACCCATTTTCAATGGTCAAAAACCATGTGGTTTTGTGTTTCATCACTGCTGACACTGTCAAATATGCAAATAATAACAGTAACCCAAGTAAAGTACACTGTTAACTGTTAACTCCGGGTAAAGTATGAACAGTGTGAAACATAAAAAAAGATTACCCAGGATCCCATTTACATGCGGGTTAGAATTGCACTGTTAATTATTCAAGTGTGAGAGACCTTAATAAATGTTTGAGATACAAGTGATTCTGCCAAATATGCCCTTTAGCATGATGTGAATGCAATGTGCAGTGACCACTTTTCCTTATAGGTGTGGGATTTGTTTCAAACATGTTAAGATACTGCACATCTGAACTCAGCAGCTGTTAAAATGAACAGAATATATTGAGTTATGAAGCTATTTGTGGTATAAATGTAACCATTGTTACTTTGTACAATGTAAGTTGCTCCTCTGAGTACATGGTCAAATTAATCAAGTTCAAGTTCAAGTCTGCTTTATTGTCAATTCTTCCACATGTACAGGACATACACACAGAGAATACCATTGCAGATGATTAAGGAAGAAGTTAATTATTCAACGATAATTCTCTAAATACATGAACTTATGATAGAGAAGGTTAACTTTGTTTATTAAAAAAAAATGCTCTCAAAAACAAAAGGGAGGAACTGTTTATTACAGCATTGATTCTACAATGTAAACTGGGGCCTGTTTCATAAAACAAGTTTAGCAAATAAGCCAGGTTTATTTCAGATAGTCTGACTTATTTTGAACCAAATCAACTAACAATAAGTCAGACTAACTGAAATAAACCTGGCTTATTTGGTAAACTTGTTTTATGGAACAGGCCCCAGGACCCATAAAGTGATTTTATATATTTTGTCATTATGAAAAAAAAATAGTGTCTGAAATTAGGACCAATTTTCTTACATTTCAACCCTAAATGTAAAGAGGTGCACTTTAAAATGATGAATATACCCTGCAAAATCATTTGTAAGAATGTATTCAAGAAGAAGAAGAAGGGACTCAAATATATAAATGTGCAAATTAGAGAGAGCAACAAAATGTGCAACAAACTAGCCTATACCTGCGAGACGGGTCCTCTCAGGGGAAATTGCTAGGTTTGGTTTGTTAATTGGATAAAAAGATATCTTATAGCCTACAATAAATTATTTTTTTGCTTTTGCTGAAATGTTACATTCATAAATGTCAATTTTTCTAAATCCATCCACGATTAGTGATTTTTAAAGAGGATAAGAGGTCAGAGGATTTTGGTTTTATAATATAAAAGCCTCCTGCTCCCCTACTTTTTCTTTCTTTGTATGTTTTTTTCCGCCAACATATTTATTTTATTTGATTTTATGTTATATCGTAAATGTATTATGTGGTATGTATAGACTGTGATATGAAAATTAAGCATAATCCCAGTCTTGATATGCCTGTGTAAATTTCTCAGTTATGAATGCCTTTCTGTGTTGTTATTCAAAGCATTTGAATTAAAACAACAACAAGCTTATGCTAATATTCAAATCACACAGGTAAGGGGCGAGAAGAAAACTATAATAACACGTAATTTGACGTAATTCATACTCACGTTAAAAAAAATAAAATAAAATAAAAAATAAAATAAAGAATATTTTTATAGTGAACACCGCACTAAAGCGCACGCGAAGTGGGCGGGAAATTGTTTCAGTGTTGATGCACGCTGAGCGGCGACAGGTATGGCCTACATTAGAAAAATAAGAGATGTCTAGACTTAATTAATTAATCATTTATTTATAAACAAATAGAGCTCATTTCCAGGACACTTAAATTGTGAAACTGATGAACGCGAAAAAAAACTTGACAGCTGGCGTATTTATTTGGCTATAGCGTTACACAAGACGACGTCTCAAAAACTAGCAAGCTCCCTAGCTAGACAACATTCTTAGGTGTCCTGAGGCACTCCGAGCACACAACACGTTTGGTGTCCATCTAGACAGCACTTTGGAGCATCGTTCAAACGGTGCCTACTGAGGCTGTCTGGGTCGGTAGCGTAAGTTAACTGTGTTTTGAGCCAGAGCCATAATAAACAAACGATGTATAAGGAGGCATTTGGAATGACAGCCTGAACGCAACAAAAAGCCAAGTCTTATGTCACTGGGTAAATGCACGACTGTAGCCTATTTAAGTGTACGGTGGCGTTAATAAACGTTCATTAAGTTTCACTAGCTTCGCAGTCTCCCATGATCGTTATGTTTTCTCAGACACGCCACACATCACGATGTTTTATGCCCAAATCTTCACCTCCAAACGAAGCACATTAGCCAAGATATGGCTGGCAGCCCACTGGGAGAAGAAAGTAACCAAAGCACACGTGTTTGAATGCGACCTAGAGACCACCATAAAGGAGATCCTGTCGCCCCAGGTAAGGTGCACCTGGTTAATCCATATATGAACACGAAACCAAGTAATTTAATGAGGTTAGTGCTCACTTTAGAGACTCGTTTATCTGATTTATCTCCATGGTTCATTACCAGATGAAAGTTGGTCTGCGAACTTCAGGGCACCTTCTTTTAGGAGTTGTCCGGATATACTCCAGGAAGACCAGATACCTTCTCACAGACTGCAGTGATGCATTGGTCAAAATTAAAGTGGCTTTCAGGCCAGGTGAATGCAGCCTCGTACAATACATGCCGTCTCTGGTGTTAAAGGGGTCATATGATGCTGCTAAAAAGAACATTATGTCATGTATTTGGTGTAATGAAATGTGTTTATGCGGTTTAAGGTTCAAAAAACACATTATTTTCCACATACTGTACATTATTGTTTCTCCTCTATGGCCCGCCTTTCTGAAACGCGTCGATTTCTACAAAGCTCATCGGTCTGAAAAGCTCTGCTCTGATTGGCCAGCTATCCAGTGCGTTGTGATTGGCTGAATACCTCAAGCGTGTGACGGAAATGTTACGCCCCTCACCATATTGTGATGCCTGCGGCAACCACATGGGACGACCCCGGGCTGGACTCCGCTTCCTCCACGGTGAAAGCCGATCCGTCGATCCACAGCGTGAAGTTGTTGTATTCCCTCAGCAACCTGCACGGATCAGCTCCAGGCATGACGAAGCAGATATCGTCCTCTTTTGGAAGACCAAACAAAGTAGTTTCGCTTTCACAACGAAACACACAGCGCCTTCACAACATGGCGGCGGCAACAACAATACTACAGCGAGAATAAAAGTGATGCCTTCTTTCTTTGCGTGAACATTTGGGCGACGTTATGCAAATCTTCCCACATCATGACGTAGACATGTGGGGGCGTGTTAGAACGAGCCATTTTAGGTAGGCGTGG